AATTCACTTAAAATATACCTTATTGCCGATGTGGGATATAAAACAAATATTAACCTCCTTTACTCGGGCAATGGATACAAACTATCATCGCTTCGGTGATCTCGGCGCTACCGTCATCCCTCGCCTTGCGGCTCGGGATATGATAGTAGCCCCGAGATCAGCTCGGCGATGATAATTTGAACCATTACCCTCGTAGTCGGTTAATATTTGCTTACTACATCCTTGAGGTAGTCACTAGGAAGGTCTATTTCTGTACATTGATGTGAGTGCATAGAGGTCACAAGTTATTTAGTAAGGATTCACTGGAAATTCGGAATTCTCATCTCAAACCTCCTAATTTTATAGTTTACGAATGCAGTTGCTTGGGAATTTGACTTACTCCTGTGTGTCTAATTATTTGCTCTAATGCTCTTTGTTCTACAAGACATTCAAGGACTGATCCAATGTTTTTGTATGCCTGAACGTATCAAGGATACTCATTTGTACTAGCCAATGGCTGTGCTATGCTTTGGAGCAGTTCTAATATGAAATGAATGATGCTTTCAATCATATTCATTGTTTCGTTTAACTTGCTAAAGTACGTGACACCGAATTGTTAAATATGAAGTTGAGTTCTGGTCATGCGATTGCATTGTGAAAGAAACGGTGTGGAACCGACCAGAAAAGGTTGATCATCTAGCATACAAGAATTTATGTGTCTTGCAAGGTTCTGGAATCATCAAAACGATAAGAAATTTGGCCAAGTCTTGGTAAAGTTACAAACACTGTACACAGAAAGATGTATATGGGACTACACAAACACGTGGCGTAAAAAGCCTCCCCCCCCCCAGATTTTTACGATGTTACATGCCATATTTAGAATATAAAGGCATTTGAAGAGCCATGCTTTTCAGGGAACATGTCTTATCTGATGTTCTTCCACACTTGCATAATAAGAATGATAACGCTCACAAATTATTTTTCACCTCTTCCCACAACTCAACCTTCTCTTTAAATGTCTTAGAGTTGCCATAATATCACCTCCAATTGAAATGGTCGTGTCTCATTAACATGTAGCCTTTTACAAGCATTTTGTCAAACAATGAGATCTTAATGTTTGTATGTGTGTGTGATGTAACCTTTTCTCCATGACAATCTTGCTACAAGAAAAAATCGTCACTACTCAATTTCATCAACTAATTTATGTTTAGAGTTTCATATCAGTGTTTTATTTATTTATTTACAAGTTTCTTTTTCGATAATGAATAACTTTAAAAATGCATGTAGCTGTAGCATTCTTCAGTTTTTCAGTTTCAGTTTTACTTTAGTTTTTTAATATTTTATTTCATATTTCACATTAACATTCATTACATAAATCAAAAGCAATAAACAATAAGAATGAAAAGAATTGTTCTTTCAACAGGTGTCAAAAATACATACAATAATATTAGGTAATGAAAGTAAAAAAGCACAGCCAAGTTAACATACGGAGATATACATACAATTGCATGGTATTTTAACTAAAATTAGACAAATATATTTGTGGTGAAATATGGGGGAATCTAGTAAAAATCTCAGCTTGTACAATGACGATTCCCTGTTATAAATAAGAGCAGTCTATGGAACGTGAGATATGTTCAAAATAATCCAAATTAAAGGGAGAAAGAAGGAAAAATACTAACAAATAAAAAATGAAGAAAACACTAAAAGACAAAAACACGAAAGAGGCGAAAATAAGACGAAGGACAAACAAAAAGCATTAGTCTCATAATGTAGGTGTTTACAATTGTGAGATCAGCTTGTAAAATCAGTGTAATGTTATAATTCTACTTCGACTATGTACTTATAAATTGATACAGGCGTATATATCTCTTTTTGCTTTTTGAGTTAAAGATTTTCAATTTTAGTATACCTGTATCATGCACGTATGATTTGTATATTATATTTATGAAGATGATGATTTCGTCCAGATAATCCTTTTTGAATAGATGATATTTGAATACCTTCATCTTTCGTTATGCACGGTATCGAATTATACCATGTTCAAAAGTGAAATTTGATTTAGTGAAATATGACATAGGGATCTTAATTCAAATATGCATTTTCATAAATAGAAAACATGAATTTTGAGATCAGATGGCAAATCAGAAACATTGCAAATAGTAATCTATTTGTCATAAAAAAAGACAAAAGCATGTTAGCTTTCAAGTTAAATATTAAAGAGTATTAAAGATATTTTTCAAAGACTTTCATCTTTAAAGTTCACTAGATTCCCTCTCCTACATTGCTGATTGAACATTTTTTGGTCATATTTCATCTCAAGTGAATGGTTAAATAAGACGTGCTGAGACAATTTTAAAATTAGGGATGTTCGAACAAATATTGTTCCATCCCGCCCCACTACAGTTCCAAGGCATTTTGACTTGAATGTTTGAGCCCATAATTATTCCGTTAGTTTTTGTATACATGTATCTCTCAATTCAAACGGTCAGATTTTTTCACTTTAGGTATCACTATACTTCATCACTACTATGCCAACAATTACTCTATTAAAAAAATAAGTAAAAGAAAAAATATTGTTTTTAATGTGATTTGTTTTCTTCAATCAGTAAACATGCATTTGTAAAATACATAAAGCACAAGAAGAGAAATTAAAAGTAAAATGCGAATTAAATCTTTTAATTTGCATCATTTGCCTTTTGACGGAATCTTTCTCGTGTGAATATCACTTGGCTTACTCTAAAAAAGGAAACAGAAATAGAATGAGTCCATAAGAACTTTGCATACGGATTTAAAATGGTTGCAGTAACCGCAAAGAGGCAGTTGCTGGCGGGTCTAGTGTTATGGAAACATGGGGGCGGGGGCATGGGCGGCGGGCGTGGTAAGTCAAAGACAAAAACATTTTGGAGACTCAGTGTTTTAAGTGAATAAACGAACTCTACTGGTTAAAATGTTTGGATGATAACCATGGGGCCATGAATATTTTCAATGCCATGAATCTAGAAAAAAAATTGTTTTCAAAAATATTTGTTGTTTTGTTTTGTGTGTTTGTGTATCGGGGGGGGGGGGGGGATTCTTATTAAAAATGAAATCGAATCATACATGTATATTACATATTATATCTGTACAGGAGTTAGCTTGTGAGCAGATAAATTGATAAGCTATTGGTTTCCTGCAAGTCCCAGCCCCTCCCTCTGACGCCGCCACTGATCCCGCCTCTGATGGAAGAGACACCAAAAACAAGTGACACAACCCCCTAATTACTTTTATGAGTTAATGCCTCTAACATTATGGCAAAGCGGTGTGAGCCACTTCCGGTTACCGTTTGGGAATTTTATTTGAAATCACGTTTTTATTAGCTTTCTATGTCCAAATCAGGAAGTACTTATACATATAAATCAAGTTTCCATTTCGTTGCACTTCCTGAATAGCAATACAAAATTTGTGACTCGTTTAGGTTAGGTTTGTCAATTTTTGTATCTATCATATCCGTAGGCAGACAACGAGAAGGAATTTGGCTAGCACCATGATGGCGTTTAAGGACGGTCTGTTTCGTCTCCCGTTCTTGATATTTTGTCTTCTTTTACCCTTGACGTTACAGACGTTAAGAAGAGATTCTTTACTGACCTCGTCAACATCTGATCGGGGAAGCTTGGGATGTGAACTGAATATTGAGTTAAAGACAGCTTCTTGCGAGAACAGGGGACTTAATTCGGTTCCTCAAAATCTATCTATTGATATTCTGCGTTTTGACTTGTTTCGAAACAACATCACCTCTCTCTTGAGCTGGTCGTTTAAGCGATATCCTCTGATCACTCGTTTGGACCTTTCTCAAAATGACATCAGGGTGATAGAGCAGACCGCTTTACACCCCCTCAAGGATTTGATGTACCTAGATATGTCCCTCAACCCTCATCTTGTGCTTCCAGGAACAGGCCTTCTTAGATGGGCTAGAAAACTTTCCACTCTATACTTGCAGTCCTCGAACTTGCAATCGCTCCCTAACGACATTCTAAAATGGAGCCCACGATTAGAATACGTGGGACTTTACCGCAATCACCTGAAAGTCGTCAATGTCAGCTCTTGCGGTACATCTGAGCATGTTACTTTGTCATACAACCAAATTGAACATATTAATGCAGACGACTTTTATTTCGCGTGTCACGGTGGTTATTTAAACCTACAAGGTAACCCAATCCTGTCGGTTGACCCGGATGTAGTCGCATCATTACATGTCCGTACATTGTTTGTTGGAGACTATCCCGTTACATTTGAATCTTTCCGAGACTTGTTCTCCGGAATTTCGCACTCTGAAATAAAAGAAATTCTGATAATTAATGCCTCTATTGGTGCCTTTCCGGACAATTTCTTTGATCCATTGCGTGATTGGCCTATCCATTTGCTGGAATTCTCATACATGTATAACAAAGTGAATTATCTGTATCCTTTTGTCTTCTTGAGTTTGACGAAAGTCTATGAACTGTCATTCGGCAATGATTATATAAGCAGGATTGAACCGGACTACTTTGAGGGTATGCAGGACTTGAGAGTTCTAAGAGTGGAATATTGCCAGCTAAAAGATATCAACACTGGTAGTCATACGTGGACTGTAGATTTAGTCGAACTGCACTTGGCTGGCAATTCTTTCACAGAAATTACTCCATATACATTTCTCGGTCTAAGGAATTTGACCTTCTTAGACCTGTATTTCAATGAACGCCTTGTTACCTTTACACTAAACTCTTTATCGGGACTTGATAAGCTCCAAGCCATCAATATATCTGAATGCTATGTCTTCCGATGGCAACTGGGCGTCCCCGCTTTAAAATGGCTTTCCATGAACAATGTGTATCCCCCCCGGAACCCTTTGGAACCTGGAGAATCTTTCAAAGAGACAAGATCTCTTGTGAGTTTAGATTTGATTGATTCGGTGCTTCATGTCTCTAATCTTTGGGATGCCACGGTGAATATATCTATTTTCGATAGCTTGTTAAACCTTACAACCTTGGATTTGAGTGAGAATTATGATCTTGGAAAGGGCTTTCCTCCTTTCATCTTCAGACAGCTGTCCGCTTTGCAAGAACTGAGTATAGAGTACTGCTCTATTGAACACCTTCACCACCTCACTTTCCTGGGGTTGGTATCGCTCCAGAAGCTTAGTTTAAGAGGAAACAACATTTACCAACTTCATCAGGATTTACTTCAAGGGTTGGTGCAAGTCAGAAGCATGAACCTTCAAGGAAACTTCCTATCGTATCTCGATGAAGCTGTATTTTCAAGCAATGCAAAACTTACAAATCTGTCATTAGCAAATAACAAATTTACCAGTTTCAACCAAAGTACCTTCCAACCAATCAAACTCTCTCTTTCTTCTATCGATCTTTCAAACAACCCAATCAATTGCAACTGTGATTTAAAGTGGCTTCTTGATTGGCTAAGTGGCCCTATACAGCTGCTTAATGAAGATGAGACTATCTGCTCGTTAGCATCTTTGGATTCCGTTGGGGAGAAACCTTTGCTTGATTTTGATCCCAATGAACTATGTGGGCTCAACATTGTTCTTTACTGTGTGCTTTCACTCGCTGCCATTTGCTTCTTGGTCGTTGTCGGCTTCGTTTATCATAATCGATGGCAGATGAGGTTCAAACTCTATCTCTTGAAGCTGGCGGTCCTCGGGTACAACGAGCTACGGGACGCACGAGACCACAACGACTACGAGTTTGACTTAAACATCATCTTCTACGACGACGATGAACATTGGATTCGTGAACAGCTTCAACCGGTTTTTGAAGAACGGCTCCCGCAGTTTGAGAGGAACGTGTTTGGTGATGACGACCTTGTTCTAGGAATGCACTACTTGGATTCCGTTGACTACGTGGTTAGCAGGAGTTACAAGACTGTCATAGTGCTCAGCAGAGCCGCCGTTCGCGATCGCTGGTTCATGCTCAAGCTTCGAATTGCAATGGACCACGTGAGTGACACACAGACCGAATTCGTTGTGGTGCTCTTCCTCGAAGACATCCCAGATGATGAGATGCCGTTCCTGGCGAGGTTGTATCTTAGTGATGGCAGACCTTTTCTTCATTTGCCAAATGAAGAAAGAGGACAAGAATATTTCTGGAATGAATTAGTGAAAAGTTTGACCATTAATCTAAGGACCAATGATTTGATTCCGAATGAGTAGAACGTTTGTGTACGTAATAATTGTTTCTTCTTGTTCCTTTTCCTTTTTCTAGTTTACATACAGTTTACTCTAGCATTTGACAAGTACTCACTTTAGCTATTATTGTGTTTTTTTTTGACATTTTAGTAGCAAGATAATGTTTCTTATATGTGTACATTTTGAGAAGGCCTAGCATAACGGCCAAGGCAAAGATCGAGATAGCCTTACTAAAGTACTTCTCATTGATACATACATGCAACTGAGAGATCGATGATACATGCTCAGTTCTTTTCTCAGTGATGTTCATTTACTCATTCCATTTTCGGAATTACGAGACTTCGTAATGCATAAAATGTTCGGAATAATGAACCCTATATTATTTTCAGAACTATGAACCCCCCCCCCCCCCTCGGTAGGAGAGATTTGTATTCGGGAATTAATAACTTACGGAACCCCCGCAAAAAACGAGCAACCCCCGTTGTCTTTAACTTTTCCTTTTTAATAGATTCACTTGACTTTCATTCTGTTGTTTTCATCGTTTGTTCATTTTGTTTTGAAATGATTTGTACAGTTTCATTTTATTGCGGTTCTGCTTTTTTATTGATATGTTTCAGTTATATTTGGTTGCTTTTCAACGGTTGTTAAACTTAATTATATCTGCTCTCCTTTTACTCTGGCAAATTTGTGGTAAAATACTTCCCAACCCCAAAAATGGCAACAACAAAACTTTCTAAAAGTTTTCCAGTAGTGTTACACATCAGGAAAATGTTCTAAAATCTAAGAAAATCGGACCCCCGAAAAGGAGCACCTTTAGAACGGCGTCCAAGATGGCCGCCAATACCTGAAAAGAGCCATCAATCGTGCTAAACTCCTCGAAAAAGTTCTGCAATTCATGTTCGAGCATTGATATCTCTCTTGTTAGTATATAATCATATTTGACGTTGGTATAATTGAAAAGCCTGTTTACTATCCTTTACAATAATGCCCCATTTGTAATGATTATGTAGACATGGACTGTGCAGTTCATCTGAATATGGGGCCAAGTCAAAAGTTATAATGCTGCAAAACTCCTTCAAAACAACATTAATCTTCCGAACAAATGAAGAATTCATCATCTGAACAAGGCTTTGGAGGGCGTGGCTATGAATGAAAGTGTTGGACTGGGTTTGGATAAGGATTACTTAATCCTTGAGGTACATTTTGTCACTTGGAAGGTCTATTTCTGTCCATTGTTGTGAGTGATGAGAGAGCACAAGATTTCTAAGTGAGGGGTCATTAGAAATTTGGAATTCTCTTGTTAAACCTCCTAATTTCATAGTTTTCGAATGCAGTTGTTGGGAATTTGACTTGCTTCTGTGTGTCTAATTATTTGCTATAATGCTCTTTCTTTTACAAGACATTCCTGGACTGATCACATGTTTTTGTATGCCTGAACGTATCAAGGACACTCATGTGTACTAGCCAATGGCTGTGCTATGCTTTGGAGCAGATCAAATATGAGATGAATGATGCTTTTAATCATGGTCATTGTTTAGTTTAACTTGCTAAAGTACGTGACACCGAATTGCCAAATATCTTAGACTTGCCCTAATATCACGTCAAATAATGCAATGGGTGTGTCTTTTTACAAGCGTATTGTCAAACAATATGATCTTCATGTATAGGTATGTGTGATATATTCTCAAATTCTTCATGACTATCTTGCTCCAAAAAAACACTTTTCACTAATCAATTTCATCAACTTATTTATGTTTAAAGTTTTATATCATATTTTAAAATATTTTCAAGTATCTTTCTTTGATGATCATTTATAACTTTGAAAATGCATGTAGCTGTAGCATAAGCCTCACAGTGTACAGTATGGGTGATTACAATAATGAGATCAGCTTGTAAGATGGAATAAATCAGTGTAATTTTTATTCTACTTCAACTATGTAGTTATAAATTGAAAAGGCGTATATACTTCTTTGTTTTTTTTGAGTTAGAGATTTACAATTTTCATTGGAAATGAGTTTTGTCTTTTTTTTTCAATACAAAATTTACACTCTGATACTTGCAGTGTTCAATATGTATCTTAATATGAAATGGTATGGGTGTACTGTTTTAAATTGTAAGATTCACAGACTACAATCTTACCCTCTTGACTGTCGATGTTTATGTTAAAATAAGGAAATACTTCAATTTGTGTTTATTTGCCTTCAGTTGCAAGGCCCTGGGAACGATTTTTTCACCGGGGGTGCTGAGATATATATATATATATATATACGTATATAAATAAATATATATACGCAGGGGCGGATCTAGCTTTTTGCCAGGGGGGGGGGGGGTTGACCAAATGACGATGCAGAGCATCGTCCACAGGCCTCAAAGCGGCGAGGCGATTTAAAAAAGAAGAAGCTATTTTGAACCCCCGTAAGTGATGTTTTCCTGGCATCTGCTAAGACAATGTTTTGTGCTTTCAAGCTGTTTTGAACCCTAGATTCCTCTCTTTTTCTGAAATATTCTGTGTGAAAATTATACAAAATAGATTGCTAACGTATTCCAAATTTTGCATTGAGAAATTCCTAAATGTTGCTGTGAAAGGTAGAACAGAAAGGGACAAACTTCATATTCAATAGGGCAGTGGAGTTGAAAATAACCCCCGATTAAGATACCTTCAAGAATATTTTTAACAAAATATGACCCCTTTTTTTGCCTAAATGTTTAAAATGTGATCTGAATATAATCCATTTTTTGGCTTATCCAGTTCCAGTTTACAATAAGCATCAAACATTTTTGCGATTACAATAAATAAATAAAAAGAGAATCCTCTGTTTTTCGAAGCGGCGAGCGCTTTTATTAGCATAGATTTACAATGTTTTTGCGAAACACTATCATGCATACACAAATTAAGAATTTCGTGCTCGGTGCAGATGACTTTATCAAAAAGAAGTTTGGGTAATATTTAGAACAGATTTTGAAAAGACGATGATATATTTTCAAAGGTGTAGTATATGGTGATTGGCATTCTAAGGGTGGTTTTGAGACGAAATTGCTAACTAACTGTATGTTATGACAGTTTTTAAAAGTTTTTTTAAAGAAAGAAGCAGAGTTATGCTGAATGTGGGATAGTGACTTAGGTATAACGTCTGGCTTACCCTAGCTTAACCTGTAGATGTTTTTGTTTTGTTTTGTTTTGCTTTGTTTTGTGTGACAATCAGATAGAAAGCAAATGGTACTGAGAGCACCATGTAAGATGTGTGAGGAATGAACTCATTTAGGAAATAAATTTCTCTTCAAATTGGCTATATTGATATTTTTTCTCTCAATGATGCATTCTTTGAACAATATATGTCTTCAAAGCAATACTGTAATGTATAATGTATAATGTATAATGCAGCTCGTAGATTGCCAATTTGAAGATTAATGATTTTTTTTTTGTATAGCTATTCTACTTTTTTAACCGCATTTCATACTGCACCATAAATGGACTCAACTTTTGCAGCTATTTTTGCTCCTGTATCAGCAAAACGCGATCTTTATAACCCATTTACTACTGAATTCTCTCATTCCTAATGTGTTTAATAAAGGAGCCCCATGATTCCATAGGTAATGAGTTCACTGTTGTACTGGATTGCTGGAGTATGGGTACGAAAATAGTAATTGAGATTCAAAAGTTCTGATGTAAAAGACATTAATGCACTTTTTTCTTGCCTGGAATGAAAATTATTGAACTTTGAAGAACATGTCTAAAAGGTGTATGTGACAGGCAATTTTTGCGGTATTTCATTCTCGACTTTCACAAGTTATGTTGTTCAGATATATTTTTAAGAAGTTAGTTTAGTGGTAGATATTTAGTTAGATATGATATGATGAAAATTACCTAAAGATACACACATGGATTTGGGTTCAACATTTGGCAACTGTGTCTTTGCACATTGTAAGTTAGCATGAAGTTATAGATTATATAATATAGCTTCTATTTAGAATGACATAAAAGAGTTATGAAAAAAGGTTATGGATACCTAAATCCGTTTTGTATTTGAAATATTCCGAAATGTAGTTTTATTTGTATTTTTCTATTTGTGTGTTCCATTGATATGCTGCTTTCTGTTGCTCCAAAGGCCAATTATGATTATAGCCAAAAGGGTGTTAACTACTAGATCATAAACTAACAAATGCCTACTTAAAATCGATTTACATTTGTATGTAATCACAAATATGTCTCACAAATAGCACACTGTTTTATATGTGACCTGTCTCTTTCAATTCAAAACTAAATATATGTTATTTACTAATTATGGAAATGTGCAACTTTGAATTATAGGAGAGGGGAGTGGTATTTTTGTATGAATGTTCAAGTCTTTTTATAATGTTTTATATATATAGAAAAAATATGTATGCCTTTCATACGTTGATCTTGTATAGATGATGCTATAAATGTAATTATTGATATCTAAACATATGTTTTGTAGACCCAAAACCCTATTTTGTATGATTGTATACAAACTCTGATTAAATTTTTTATTTTTGCTCGATTGAAATGAAGCCTTGTATATGATAATGTTACTCTGTAAATGATCCACTTCATATTAATTATTCAATGCTGAAAATAAAACTTGTACTCAGATCAAACATAATTATTTGTCCATGCGGCCATTGTGATTATTTTGTGTGTGTAGAGAAAGGTAGAACAGAAAAGGATAGACATATGACAGCTGTCAACCATTTCTATTTTGGAGGAATGATTCCTTGTTTGGGCCTTCAAGCTACTGTTTTAAACCCTGAATTCCTGTCTTTTTCTGAAATATTCTGTAGAAAAGAATGCAAAATAGATTGTGAAGACTGTGAAGAATTGCCTTAGAAATGAGGCAGGATGAGAATTGACATTTTCATGCCTCCGCCCAACGAAGGTGGTGCCAGAGGCATTATGGTTTTTGGTTGTCTAAACTATTTTAGCTGTGAGCTTAAATACTTGTAACTAATTTGCACAAAGGCGGGCCACCCGGGGCACAGTGCTCCCATTTTTTCAAGTACCCCAAAAGTGCCCCTTATTACATAGAAATAGTGCCCCTTTAATTTGGTAAGAAGTGCCTCTGTTTACGTAGGAAAAGTGCCCCTATTACTTTGACAAGTTCCCCTTTTACTTTGACAAGTTCCCATTTACCTTCGCAATAAATGTCCATGTTTCATTTTCATAAGTGCCCTTTTTAATCTCTAGTAAGTGCCCCTTTTCAGGTATGATAAGTTCCCTCCTTCACCCAGGAAGCTGTCTGAGAGGTGCTCCTTTTACTTTGACAAGTGCCCCTTTTCCTTTCTAATAAGTGCCCCTTCCCCTTCCTACAATAACCCCTTTTCATCTCTGACAAGTGCCCCGTTTATTTTAACATATGCCTCCTTTAAAAAAAATAAGAGCCACTTCCCCCTTCTCATAAAAGCCCCCTTTTACCTCAGATAAATGCCCCTATTAAAATCTGATCGGTGTCCCTTTTCTGCTAACAAATGCATATTTTCATCCATTAT